TTGATTCTAAACTGCCATCTGACAAGTCAAAATTGCCAAACTGCAAGGTTATACGTGGTATCAGTCAATTACCAAATATCTGCCACGGGTAAAAAAGTCTCTCTGATTTCAGAATCATTCCAGCTCAAAGGGAAATTGCATCAGAGTGAGGCAGCTCAGCTCCCAGTGGTGCCAGTCACCCCCTCCTGGCAAAAGGTACTCTGCCTGCAAGGGTAATCAGGACACACCTTGGTCTCAAAGGCAGCAATGAATATTTTAGAGATGAGGCACAAAGATGGTGAAACTGGTGAATGCTCTTTTTGACAACTTATGAGCTCTCCAGTTGCTAAACTGTAGAACTGAAGTGTTTACGGCAAGAGACATTTCATTGCTTATTAGTTTATCTTCCCAGCTCTTTTTAGAAAGAGAAGGATTTGCATTTCCTAAAGCAAACTGTTAAATATCTCTGTGTCTATGCCTATTTTTATGGAGCTGGATGTGTTAGTTTATGTGCCTGTACAAGTAACACTTCTCAAAATAGGAAACCCATTCATCTTTCAAACTCACAAAAGAGAAAGCCACCTCTCTGAATTAATTTTCTGCATGTTGGTGACAATAAACCCAAAGACCTCATTCTCTTCTCAGTTAAATTGGTATCAACCTTCTTATTTTCCATCATTGCCCAGTTAACTTCCAGTTTCCAAGTGCAATACTGATACCTTTTGCACTTGAGGAAAGAGATGACAAGACTTAGTTTCATTTCTATTTTTAAAAAAGAACTTTTCTGATGGCTGCAACCTTTTGCTCTGCCAGAAGCTTTTGTCTTAAGAGTTTTCTTATTTGTACAAAGATCTAGATATTAATTTCTATCTGAAAGTCAACAAAGTTTGAAATAGAAATGAGATATTTATTTTAACAGAGAATAAGTAATTATTGGAACTGATTATGATGGGATAAAGGGAAATCTCCACTGCTTAACCTCCTTAATCAAAGTTAGATATTTTTCTAAGAAGAGTTGTGATAGGTCATTAAGCAGCAGTCTGAATGAGATTATAAAATCATGTGGAATGTCCATGTTTCTCCACACTCCAAGCATTTGAATCTGTTTGTTCTTTTGGTGGATCTAACATTCAAAGTACTGATCCATCACACCATCCAAGTTTATCAAAGAAGTGAACCCTTACAAGTGTTAGCTTAAAACAAAATTGGTTGTATAGTATCAGTGACAATCTCAAGGTTTTAAAAAATACTTCTACAGACAGGTATGTGTTTTTCATTTAAGAAAAAATTTAGAAATCAGCAGGATATAACCAAGCTTCAGCACAGAAAGGGATAAATGCTGCCAGTGTAACATTATCCCTTCCATTCTGCTGTCAGTCTTTTCCCATTCTGGTTTTTCTCACTGTCAAAAGACAAGATGCTTCATTGCAGCATCTCAGGGAGAAACGGCCTAAGAATCTGTTTGCTGGACAAAGGGGGAAGTCCCTCTTCAAGCAAAGAAAGCTTTAGAGGGATTTTTCTAAAGCATCCTTAGAAGTTGGGGTAAAATTGCTGTTGACATTGAAGGAGTTCCTTTCCCTTTCTCTTCCTGTTCAGATACATTAACCCAAGATATGATCTTCAGGGAAATGAAATCAATCTTCACCTCCTAGGATTGTACTGGGGTTTACAGGCCAGGCACTTCAGGACCTAAGGCAATATAAACTTCCTTGATCTTTCCTGCTTTCTTCTGACATCTCACCCTTTCCTAGGTTTTGGTTTCTGGTTTTGTTGTGTTTTGTTTTATTTTTTTTATTATTATTAAAACTATTAGATTTGTGAGAAGATGGCAGGCAACTCTTGCCTCATTTCAGACCCAGCTTTCCATTCTGTGACTGGACCAGCTGCTGGACACAATGATTTCATGGACCTCTGCTGACCTCTGTTAAGCAAAGGTCTAAGAAAGCCAAATCAATACTATGGGAGACTTAAATTTTCCAAAAAGTGAACCAGTTGCAGGTCAGAGTGAAGCCTCAGTGTTTCTTCCCCCGAGGAGGATAGAAACCTGTTTTTCTGGCTGACATTGCTCAGCCATCAGCACTGGAGACTCCAGAGGTTGTGAGTTCCTGGCAGGTAGAGTCCAGCCAGGATACTGCTGGCACTGTGCACAGTGCTGGCAGGCAAAACCCAAGCAGAGCAAACTTTTGATCAGTTTGCTGAAGGGAAAGGAAAACCACACTAAAACCTTCCTCAGGATGTTGCAAATGACACAGATCAGCAATTTTGGTAGCAGGTGTGTTTTTCTCAGTATTTTACCCGCCACTTCTCCTTAAAAGTTCGATATTTCCTGCTGTATTTCTTGGTTCCCAGAGACTCATTGCTGCCTGTCAGGCAGAAGGATGTTTCAAGCTATATCCTGCCCTGCTGCAGGAAAAATCCTCATGCTTGTTTTGGCTAACCTAAATTTCCTTTGAGGATTGTATTCCCAGGTGCTCAGTTTAGTAACTACATGATTTTCTGGGTGATATTATGTTTTACAAATAGCAAAAAATATCTTTTAACAGAGAATGAATAAGGAAAAAGCAACTCTTGACTGACTGAAAATTGCAGCCTTTAGCTAACAGTTAAAATTTAGAGATGTAGCTTTGAAGGAAGAACTTGGAACAGGGCCTATCTTCCTTCTGCAATGCAAAGACCAATTGCAGCATGGGAGTAACACTCAATAATGTGCTAATTAATCAACTTTCCTTAGAAAGATATTAGAGAGAATAGTTCCCAGACAATTCAGCTGGACAAATGTTTCTGTGCCACAAGAATCAGATGTGATTGAGTGGATTAAAGGAGCAAAAGGGCAGCGGCACACATGGTTCCTGCAGATTTACCCTTCCCATTTCAAAACACTGCCCTAAAATACTGCTCTGGGGCAGATTTGCTTGATGGGCAGAGATTTAGGGTAGCACTTTCCTACAGCACATCCCCATTCCACTCCAAAGTAGCTCCAGCTCTGAGCAGCAATAAAAAGTAAATTACATTTATTAAATCCCTTGATCCCACCTTTAAGGACTTCCAGGAACAGCATTTTCATAAAAGGAAATGTCTCTCTCAGGCTCCAAATCTTTCCATTTCTGCTGTAATTTAAAGTGGGGAATAATTTCTTCAGAAAAGATTTCTGCCAATTCCTGACATCCATGTTCAACATATTTAATGTTTAATAAAATGTTGAACACACCATGCTGTATTTCAAAGTCATCAAATCTAGATACTAGGTGAGTATCATGTGAGTGAGATTTCAGCTTCATGAAACAGTTTGGGCTGGAAGGGAACTTAAAGATCATCTCATTCCATGATTTTCTACTACACTAACTTGCTCAGGGCTTAATTACCAACAGTTCATTGTCACTGCTCCACCTACTCCGAGCTTCCAAATCCCTTTGTGTTTTGGGGAGATTTTTGGATGGATTCTCATTTGTTTAGATGGATTCCCATGATGTTGGAGCAGATAAAGTTCCTCTTGGAAGCAGGAGGGGTTGGGAGGCCAGACACAAAAGCTGCATATTGACTTCAGGATCCCTTACATTTGTTTATAATCTTGAAAGGTCTCCAGAACTTGGAGATAACTAATGAGATGAGCCTCTGTAGAGGCCAAGATCAGAGCTCCTGGTGTCCTACCCCAGGGTGTGGCAAGCACAGGGAGTCATAGAGGGGTATAAGGACAGATTATATGAGAAAATTGCTCTTCTCTGATACACTTCTACCATCATCTGGTTTAGTGACTTCACTGATTTTAGGAACTTTACTACCTGAGGATAGGACTCCAAGCATTTTTTACATACCCCATTAATTTAATAACAGAAAATCCAAGAGATCCATGGGCTTGCTAGATGAGTGCTGCTAACACAGCAATCCTATGGGAAGCAGTGGATAAAAGTGGAAGTATGGGACACAGGAAAGCTGTTTTGTTCCTCCCTGTTCTCTGCTCTGGGCAAAGACATTATCAGTTCTTCATTTCATCAATTTATCATTTCATGGCAACCAGATCTACTTCACAAATAGTCATAAAATAAGCCTCAGTCAGACCATAGGTTTGTTTCCTGAGCAGATGAAATCAAGAGGATCCTCCTCTCTTGCAAATGGGAAGGGCAGTCTCAGTGACCACCCCACTGCAGCTCCTCTTCTCCTCCAGGTGGAGGGAGGACTTTGTGATTGCATTATCACAGTGACACCTTCACCTCCCCATGAAGCAGCTTCCAGGAGTTGTGCTCAGTCTCCTGGTAACATTCCACCTTCCTGCTGAAAAAAATACATCTGTGGAGACCAGCTCCCACCACTGCTTTCTGTTCATTCCTGGTACCACCAGTGCTCATTCTGGTTTTAGACTCCCACCATCATCTTTAAAGTCCTTAGAAAAATGAAATGGGCCTCCTCAGAGAGCTCATTTCTCTACTTCTGGGATGAAACAGCTGTGGCAAACAAAGCTGTGAGGTTTTGAGACCCTGAGACTTTGCCAGGGTGATGGATGGTTATTGGACTCAATAATTCCCTGGAAGTAGTTGTGTGATGCAATTCAAGCCTAGCAAGGGCAGTACATTTACCAAGAGGGATGGCAGGAGACTTGGGCTCCAAATGTATATGGGAAAAATTCTGCTGCCACAAATAAATAAATTCAGGATAAAAAAAAAAAAAAAAAAAAAAAAAAAAAAAAAAAAAAAAAAAAAAAAAAAAAAAAGGAGGAGGAAAAATAGCAGTGCTTCATCCTCCATATGTTGCCACAACACTGTAATGATCAAGGAAGGTATTATTAACAATACATGCAAAAGCAGAAAACCTGCATCCACTTCTTAAATCTTACCTATTTTCAAATAAAATTACGTACTAGAATAAGTTCCTCCAAACAAAGAGAAGTGTTACTTTTTGGATACTTACAAAAAAATGTTACATTTTTGGACACTTACAAAGACATTTAAATAAGAATATAAATATAAAGACTTGCAGAGAAGGAAGGATACGATCAGCTGTGGGAATTTTTGTTTATTTACTGGTGAAAAGACTTCAGAATCTTTTTCAGGTGTCTTCCAAAACAGTCCAGGCTGTAAGGCACAGCCCATGTTTACTCAGTGTGACACTGATTTAGCTGTGACTCTGGGAGAAAAGTCCTGCAGGGGCTGAAGGGTTGTGGCTGCATCAGATTTACAGAAGGAAAAGCCTTTGGATCATTTATCTCTGTAGATGAAGTGCCTTCTATTCACTGTACACAAGGGAATAACAAGAGTATCATTATATAACTCTGGTCCTAACCTAATTAGTATTTGACTAAGAAAGAAAAAGAGAAAGAATAAAGCTTTTAGAAGTTCAAGAGTATTAGATAAAAACTTAGACTTAACAGTCTTCCTCTTTTCATTTCCCTGCTTTAATCTTCAGGTATAAAGAGACTAGTTTGAAATAATTTAGGATGTTTTTATGGGAAGATCAGAGAATTGTTGAGTTTAGAACAGAAAACACCTACTCCAACCCTCTTATCAAAACAGGGTCTGTTTGCTTGGCTGAGTTTTGAACATCTTCAAGGAGGGAGACACAGCATCTCCAGGAAAACTGCTCTACTGTTTGTCCACCTTCAAAGCAAAATAAAAAAGGAAAAGAAACATTTTCTCATGTCTAAATGAAATCATAGAAGCATAGAATGGTTTGGGTTGAAAGAGTTCTTAAAGATCATCCAGTCCCACCCACTTCCATGGACAAGGACACTTTCCACTGATGCCCAGAGCCCCATCCAATCTGGCCTTGAACACTTCCAGAGCTGAGGCATCCCCAACTTCTCTGGGCAATCTGCGCCAGGGCCTCACCACCCTCACAGGGAAGAATTTCTTTCTAATATTTAATAAACATTCCCTCGATCATAAGGCCCTTCCCCTTGTCCTATCACTGGATACTCATGTGAACATCTCAGCTGGGAAGGGACCTATCAGGATCATCAAGTCCAATGCCTAACCCAAGCTTGCAGAGGCTGTGGTCAGCATGGAAAAGGTGGAAAAGAGGAGACTGAAGGAGAAATAGGACAGGCACCCTGCAGAGTGTCTCCAGGAAGAGTGAAATAGCTGACAGGATTCAGGTAAGGACCGGGTGTTAAAAGTGCTGGTGAAGCACTGCTGGTGTTCAGTATGACAGCAAGAAAAATTAAATTAAAAAAAAAGGTGTAAAGTATACTAGGGCTTTCACATTAAGGAGTTCCTCCAGGAGGAATGGCAGCAGACATGAGCTCACTAATGCCTAACACTTCACAGCACAAAAACTTCTCTCCCCTGGATGTCTGCTTTTCTCATAGAGCCTGACATGCTTTTACCTCTTAGCTGCCCATCCTGCCTTCAGCCCTGAGAGAAAACAACCCACACTCAATAAAGGTCCAGCATTCCATCTGGAAAACACAGAGGTAAATTCTAAAAATGGTGTGGTGGAACTTTATCTAAATACAAGTACCATTTCCAGGACTCTCAGATTACATTATTTCATAGCATTCAGGTGGATGAATGCTTCTCTTCCACCTTTTTTTCATTTCTGCTTAGTTTTTGGTTTTGTTTTGGGTTTTTTTTTAATAAATATCCATTTTTGTATAATATCCAATATTCTTTTAGATAGCCAGATTATCTCCAGGTAGTTCACATTGTCATTCTACATTTCTTTTCTCACTAACAACTCAACAACTGATGTTTGAGGTTCCTGTCAAACTTCCCTCTCTACCTGTTGAGAAAAAAAAGTCTCTGCCATTTAAATATGGAGGATTCATTTTTCTTTGGGACATCTCTATGACTTTTCCCACCACAAGTTCAATGCTTCCAAAATAATTTTAAATAAACAGAAGTATAATAAATGAAAAAAGGTGTGCAAGTCTATTGGTGAGAATCTAAGTTAAGTCCTTGTCCAAGAGGGCTTTTTCACAGAACCTGTTGCTGATGAAGATTCCTGGCTCTAGTGATTGCAGATGCCATGGATTTGGAAAAATCTGTTTAACAAAGTTTTTAAGAAAACAGGTTCTTCAAGGAAAATAGGTCCTCCGGGCATTGGTACCTGAGTTTTAATATCAAAAAGCATTTTGTAATATTCCTTCATGCAATAACTTTGGAGTTCCTTCTTCTGAGAAATTATGAGAGAAATCCCTGAATTTATTTCTATTTTCTTTAAGACAAATTAAGGGGAAAATGCAGCAAGTTTCTGATCACCTCTTTTCTGACCACCTTCCTAATTGCAGGGCCATCATCTGGTCTTTAATAATCACAGTTTTGCAGAGGTGATCTGATAGAAAATACAGCCTCATTCCTACGGTTTTAATTGACAAAAAGAGCTAAGAGACCCTGAGACTGTTTATTTCTGTTCCTTAGATGAGCAAAAACATTGACTGGCACAACAATATTTGTCTTCTTGTACATTCCTGGTTTAAAATGATAGCAAAATACATCAAAACACAATGTGAGGGTATGAGATATCTGTTACTACAATTACACATGGCAGCCACATTAATTAGTCATCCCAGCATAGATGGTGGAGAGAGGAGATTATAAATTTAAACAGCTTGGGTCACAACAATAACAAAGTCAGAATATAAGCCAAAAAGACTTGTGGGAAAGAGATAATATTTTAACTATCTCTATTTTGGAAATGTTCATCAATTGTGAAATGCCATAGGAGTTAAGAAAACATTTTATCTACTAAAACTGATTGAGTGTTGTTTCTCTGTAGAGAGGAAATTCTTGCCTGTTTCTATTTTTTGTTTCTTCAGAAAAATTTTGTCTCTAGAGACTATACCAAGATTCAAGCCCTCTTGAACCATTGCTACTAGCCATAAGCTTGAATATTTTGTTTTGTTTATTAAGGAATAAATTTGTAATTTTGTCCCAGTAGTTAAATTAACTTTGCTTTCTGCACAGTACCCCAAGCCCAGAAGAAAACAAAATATTTGCACTCATTTATTAGAGAAAATATATCAGAACTGGAAGCTGGATTTTGTTGTGTTTTTAGCAAGAGATTTTCTTGCTTCTGCTGAAATAAAAGGAAGAAAACTAATTTACCTACACCCTGCATTTTGGGTTCCAGGAACCTCAGTTATGAACAGTTCAAGAACATTTTCCTTCATCATGGATCGAGGATGAACAACCCAAGGTGCCACAATATGATTCCTTTTTCCTGTAAGAATCCATCACCCTTTCACAGCTCAAAAGTTTTGAGTTTTTTAAACTGTGATTTTGGAAGATGGGAACAATTTGATTTCATTTTATGTGTACACATCAAAAACATGGCTTTTGAGAACTTCTCTTTAATAGGATTTGCAGCAATGTTATCTTCCTCTGCTTTCCAAGCCCCTGCTTTTCTTATAGAATCATAAAACATTAATATTCAAAAAGCCCTCAGAGATCATTGAATAGTTAATCCAGTTAACAGTTAACCCAGCACTGCCAGGTCCAGCACTAAACCCTGTCCCCATGTGACACATCCTTTGGTGATCCCACCACCTTCCTGGGCAGTCTGCTCAAATAACTGACCACCCTTTCCTTGAGAAAAATGTTCCTATTATCCAATCCAAACCTCCTCATGTACAACTTGAGGTCATTTCCTCTCATCCTGTCACCTGGGAGAAGAATCTGCCCCCATCTGGCTACACCCTCCTGTCAGGGGGTTGTAGAGAGCAATAAGATCCCTCCAGAGGCATCTCTTCTCCAGGCTGAGCCCCCTCAGCCACTCATCAGATGTGCTCCAGACCATTCCCCAGCTCCGTTGCCCTTTTCTGGACACACAAAGGTGTCCCCTCTCATTCACCACCCCAAATAAGTGTGCTTCTCCCCACACATCACCTGTGACATCCCCACAGCTCTGCTGTGGGAAAAAAAAGGGTATCTGTTACAACTGAGAGAAGGCTCAGATCTCTGGAAGTTTCTCAGGATAAATCCAAATGCTTCACTGCTGTGATGGTGTAGCAAGTTCATCTCTTCACAGCTTTCCACCCCAAATCTCCTGCAAATTCTCTTCACAGCTTTCCATCCCAAATATCCTCCAAATTTCCATCCCAAATCTGCTGCACAATGAAAGATCTTCTTGCTGCTCTTCTCCCATAGAGGGAGCAGCTCAGCTCCTGATGCTGATCAGTTCTGCCTCTTGCTAAGAAGCCTTGAGCCATTTTAAATGCCAAAATGCTAAAATGGTGTAGAAAGGACTTTTAGACTCTATCAAAACTAATAAACCACTGCCTAGAGTCATGAAGGACTACAGAGAGGATGTGATTGTGAGTCCTGCCACGTTTTCCAACACTGGAAAGGAAGGGGCTTGGTGGGAAGGGCACCTGGGAGGCCTCAATAATCCCATAAGTGCAGCCAGAGTGAATTCCTGGAGCTGGAGGCAGGTCTGCAGCCTTCAACAGCAGAATGGGGTTTGCCAAAGGGAGGATGGATCTGTGCAGCCCCAACACATGCAGACCCCATTTCCAGCAGCTACTCACCTCCATGTATCTCCTGCATCTCTGGGGCTCTGCTTGCCTCCAGTTTTAAACCTGGAATTTATGTAACCTAAAAAGGGAAGAAAAATAGCTAAGAATCATCCATTTCAATTTGCACTCTTTGTTGTTGGGGGAGCAAGGGGGTACAGGGGAATTGGCTGGTGGTGATGTTATTTTGGTCAAGATAAAAAATGTTCCAAATATGAATGTAGAAAATAATTAAATATGGAGTAACCACTCCTACTTCTTCCTTCTTGCAGATGCTTGAAGACTATTTCTCTCTAAATGGAAGGACAGCTGCAGAGACATACATATTTGCAGGAAATGCAGCTCTGATGAATACCAGTTACTAAACTTCCCCTCTGTCCACCCTAAAACATTTCACCTGTTCATCTAATGACTTTTTGGAACAGCAGGGCTGATTTATCCTTGCCACAGAGTTGAACTGGCTTCTAACATGGATTTATCCTAACTTCATTTTACAGGAGGCTCAGTTCTCTTTTCCAGACCAACTCTCTCTGTCACATAAAACCCAGACACTCTGGGACATGGGGAACAAAAGAACATCCAGGAAAACTGTCAGTGACCTCTGGGACCAGAGCAGCCTGGATTTACCTGGCTTTCCTAGGAAAAAAACTCATGTTTCCTAGCGCAAAAAAAAACCTGATAGTACAACAACCAAGAAGCTGCAACGTAAGGAGACGCTCTGGTGTGTGAAATTGCCCTACCTCCAAAGGATTTTATTTTAGGTAGCCTCAATTCCATGTGAG